GGACTCTTGTACATAAGAACATCAGAGCGGTCACGGTGCTCAGAGCAAAGGCCCATCCAGCCTGTGTCCTGTCTGCCGGCAGTGCCCAAGGCCAGGTGTCCCCGAGGGAATGAACAGACCAGGTCAATTATCGAGTGATGTCGCCCATTCCCAAGTTCTGACAGACAGATGCTGAGGACACCATTCCTGCCCATCGTGGCTAACTCTTGTACATAAGAACATCAGAGCGGTCACGGTGCTCAGAGCAAAGGCCCATCCAGCCTGTGTCCTGTCTGCCGGCAGTGCCCAAGGCCAGGTGTCCCCGAGGGAATGAACAGACCAGGTCAATTATCGAGTGATGTCGCCCATTCCCAAGTTCTGACAGACAGATGCTGAGGACACCATTCCTGCCCATCGTGGCTAATAGCCACTGATGGCTCCAGGAACTTATCTACTTCTCTATTTTTGGTCTCTGTTAGAATCTTAACCTTCCTAACATCCTGTGGCGTGGAGTTCCACTGGTTGCCTGCAAGTTGTGTGAAGAAATACTTCCTTTTGGTTGTTTAAAACCTGCTACCTAGTAATTTCAGTGGGTGAAGCTAGTTCTTGTGTTCTGAGAAGGAGGAAATAGCACGTCCTCATTCACTTTCACTACTCTCTCCTACCCCCTTAGTCGTCTCTTTCTATAGGTCCAAGTCTTGTGAATCTCTCCTCATGCAGAAGCCAGGCCAGATTCTGAGTCATTTTGGTGCCCTTCTCTGAGTCTTTTCTAGTGCTCATAGATCTCTCTGGAGACGGGGCGACCCCTTCTGGACAGTCCAAGAGGTGGGCGTGTCGTGGGTTTGTACAGAGCCAATATGATACTTTCTGTCTATTTCTCTCTCCTCTTCTCACTGATCCCCAGCTCCCATTCAGCTGCCATTGCACCCTGAGTGGGTGTGTTCAAAACCTGCCCAGAGCGCCGCCGCCATCTCTGGAGCGAGAAGAGGTCGTGTCGACCCCATTGGTTAGGGGCGCAGCTGGGATTCCGGTTCCCAGTGGGGGTCACTCTGCCTTTAGCCACCTGGATTTTCATCTCACTTTGGTTCTAGTTGTGTGAGCTCCTCTTGTGACTGTTCACAGCCTGCGGTTGCTGAACCTCCCCTGAGCGGCTGTGGGGTAACGCTCACGCGTCCAATGCCCCCTTGTTGCAGAATGGCCCGAGGCGATGTCTGGAGCCTTCGTCCCCGCCGGGCGCGGAGCGTTCGTACAGCGGCTCCAGATCTCGCGCGTTGCTTCTCCTCTGGGCCCCTTCCTCGCACGTCCAGGTCTGTGCCCTGCCCTGTGGGCCCCGGGCTGCCCCGTTCCTTCATGTCCTTCTCCTGCAAGGCCCCCAGGACCCGCACCCGTGATCCCTTCCCCAGCCCCTCCCCGCACCCCCCCTCACCCTCCGTCTCACACGGAGCAGGACAGGAAGTCCAAAGTCTCCTTTTCCGTACCACATAACAAGGCAGGAGGGGGATTCGCACGCCAGCGAGTGGGATCTGCCAGGGCATCGTGCAGAGCAACCGAAATCCAAACAGTTTAATCCCACTAGAAAGGCCTCCGATGCCCCCGTCATTGCAGAGCGTCTACACAGCCGGCTGGCGCTGCTCCAAAATCAGCTCTTCACCGCCCAGCCAAACAACTCACCCGTGTCGCTGAGAGTGTCCCCTGCCGACTTCCCAGCGCTCGGCCTCTGCCCTTCCCTAGGTCAGCTAGGACTGTGCCGGCCAGGCCTGGTCCCGCACAGACCCCGGAGCGCACCTCTCTTCTCTCTCCACTCGGAAACCGACCGCTTCTCCCACCCTGGCTCTCCTGCTGTTCCCCAGTTATCACCTTCCCTCTCGTCCCATGGGGGCTCATTTTGCTCAAGAGTCCTTGGTGAGGGACCTTGTCCAAGTCTTTCTGAAAGTCCAAACCCACCAGAGCCCCTGGATGCCCCTGGGCCTCAGGCCGGTTGCCCCGGAGCTCGGTGAGGCAGGATTTCCCGTTGCAAAAGCCACGTTGACTCCTCCCCAGCTAATTGGATTCATCCACACGTGTGAGCTTTCTGCTCTCTCCTGTGCTTCCCGCCTCGTCCCAGCGCCGGCGAGGGGCTCCTGGCACCGGAAGGGCTGGGGAGCTCTCCAAACAGGGGCGCCGTGCCCCGTCCTCCAGCAGCGAGCTGCAGACGCGATTTCAGTGGCAGGTGACAAACGCCAGTCGGTCGCTCTGCCAAGTCACAGGGACGCTCCCGCAGAGCTCGTGGGAGAGTCCCCTCTGGCCCTGGGGGCTGGTTCCCAAAACCTCCTCTGGGGCCCCCGGGGTGCCCAGATCCGTCAGCGACGCAGAGCGGCTCAGGGCTGGGGATCTCCCGGTAGCCCAGCCGTGGGAGCGAGGCAAAGAACTCATCGGTGTCTCCGCAATGGCCGTATCGGCCGGAGGGCTGACCCCCCAGCGGGTTGTGTGGCCGGCTTCCTGCCTCCTGCCATGGAAGAAAAGGGGTCGTTCCTCGTTCAGTCTTGGGCTAGCGGAGCCTCCCGCTCCCGTTGTGATGCCGGGTGTACTTGGGACTTCACTGGGCGCAGCTCCTGCTCCTTCCGAGTCTCCTCTCTCGGATTCAGTCCACGTGTCGGAGGGTCCCTGTTTGCCTCTCGCTGCCAGGTCCCGCTCTGTGTTGGTTAAGCTGCTGCCTGGGGGGGGCCGGGCCCCCGGCCTGCGCTGGACTCGCCCCTGCTGCTCCCTGGGGGGCAGAAATGGGGTAACTGGCTTTGACTCTTCTCCTCCCAGAGAGAGTGTCAGCAGCACGGGCGGGGGACCCATCTCGCCTCCATTCACAACGACGGAGAAAACGACATGCTGGGCACCTATGTGAAGCAGAACAAGAAAAAGCCTGACCCCGTCTGGGTCGGACTCTCGGACTCGAGGAATGTGAGTGCCTGGCGCCCGCTCCGCCTGCGGCCCCTCCCTCCCCTGGCTCTGTTCCCTGCTCAGTGGGGGGCTGTTGTGGGGCGGGGGGTCCCACGAGAGCAGGATCTCCGGTGGGACGGGGTGGAAAGAGGTTGCAGCCACCTGTGATCTCAGTCCCAGGTCAGTGCCCAACACCCGGCGCAGGGCCCAGCCCGCTCTGACTGACATCCACAGTGACACTCGGCCCAGGCCTGTTGGGCTCCGATGGTTCAGCCCAGGCCGAGAGCCCCCCACCTCCGAGGGGTGATGAGACGTGTAGACGAGGCCTACAGCCCCTTTGTCCTTGCAGAATCGCTTTTGGAAATGGACGGATCAGTCCCCGGCCAAGTTCAACGCCTGGGACAGTGGGCAGCCTGACCCGCCAAGTGCAAACGAGCATTGCGTGGTGCTCCAAGTACCAGGTGAGCTGCCAGCTCCTCCACCTCCCACCCCACCAGGGCCCTGCCCACAGGCCCTCAGACACCCCAGCTGCTGCAGGGGCTGGCCCCGGCTCTGTCTCCCCTGCCCCAGGGCAGTTGGGGGGCGGGGGGCGTTGGTCTGACCCAGTGACACTGCTGCTCCCCAGCTCCCCTGGGCCTGTTCACATCTATTCCTGTGACAGGCAGGAGACACATGCACACACACACATGTATGTGCAGACACACACGCACCCACATACACACACACACATATATACACACTCGTACAAATATATGGACACATGTGCACACACACGGTCGCACGAAGAAAGGAACACAGATGCTCAAAGAAATTTTGAAGATTGATGGCTCTGACACAGAAACCAAAAATGAAATGAAGCCACTAATTAATGTAGTTCCTGCTTCTACTGTTAGCCAGGATTCCCATGGGACTACAATGCAGCATAAACAGACAAAAAAGATGGGTATGCACAAATACCAGCTAATTTTCATCAAAATCATTAAGAGCCTTATGTTCTCAGTCTCTACAGTTATTAAAAAGATTGTTATTGTCAGGGCTCACCGAGCCGCGGCAAGCCCCACTTGCCAGCCGCGCTGTCCGACGATCTGCGCATGCGCAGATCGTTCTGTGCATGCAGAGATTGCCCGAACCCGGCTCTTCCGGGTTGTAATCTACTTGCCACGGGCGAGTAGATTACATAATTTGTCGAGCCATGGCTACTGTTACTTGTTTCCAGGAGCAAACAGTAGAAGTTTCCATATTTTTCATTTCCTTTTTACTATTCAGCACTGGAAATCTGTACATTGCCTAAGTATTCTATTGAATGCCTAACATTAAAGTTAGGCAGTCTGAAAATACTAGGAACTTATTCAAATATTCTTGCTTCTGTGTTGATGTTTTAGAATGGAGCAGGGCGCTGAGAACGGCCCATGCGCCCCATGGAGCTCCCTGCGGCCTGGGGTTTGACTGACTGGGCTGAGTCTGGGCACAGCTGAGGGCGTCCGCTCAGGGCGAATTGCTCAAATCCGGGGCTCCTTACAGCCCCCAGACTGGTGACCTCCCCACACAGGCCACAAACCAGTCCCACAGAGCGCTTCAGCTGCCTGCCTGAAGCCTCACGAGCAAAACCCCTCCGGCACCCCAGCTCTCTCTGTGCCCCAAACAGCCCCGGGCCTCATACACAGGTGAGGGGTCCTAGCACCCAATCCCACCTACCCCGAACAAGTTCTGGCCGGTTCCAAGAAACCAGCCACAGATCCCTGGTCAATTTACGCTCTGGATCTTACCCACAAATCACGCTGGGCCAATCCTTTAGAATCTATATCTAAAGGTTTATTATTACAAGAAAGAAAAGCCTGAGAGTGAGGTTGTTAAAGGATAGTACGTTACATGCACCGAATCTCCCAGTTCTCGGTGCAGGCTGTAGCAGAGATGTCACAGCAGCTGGCTTAAAAGTCCTTGGTGCACATCCTATGCCAGGATGGGTCACAGTTCTTTCCAGCTCGTGATTCCCTGCGAGGCCACATCTGGGGTCATGAGCAGATCTGAAGACCAAAATGCAGGATGCCACATGGCATCTTTACACCTTCTTCCTGGTCTCTTCTTGGCTGCAGCAGGTCACCTGGCCAGCGGCCTATCCCTGTGTTCCCTGCTGGTAGCTCCCAGGTATCAGCCCCCATTCTTGAGGGGTGTCCTTGCCCTACAGAGGTCTATTGTTCCACTGAGACTTGCTCATTAGCATGTCCATGGGCTGAGCTGCTTCGCCCATTGCTCAACCGCACACGGAGAAACATTCAGTATCCACACAAAGTCCATGCTTCTAACGTCACACACAGGCCTTCCACAATCACACGAATAGCACATGTAGAATCAGTATAAGATAAACTTTCATTTGACACCTCGCATGGCCCCCTTTGTACCACTATTGGGGCAACCCCCCCCCAGGTGTGCAGCAGTGATCTGGCTGCTCCCCTTAAAATCCAGTAACGTGACCTGGGGTGCTGCTGAGGGGCTGAGCCCACCCCGTCCCAGGGCCACCCTTCCCCTGCTCTCTGACCACCTGGGCAGGAATCCTACTGCAGGCAGTGGGGCAGGGCACGGCCAGCCCCAGAGTAGGGAGAACGGTGCCCGAGGGAGGACCGTGCTCTGCGCACAGCAGGCTGGGAACACTGGCTCCTGGGCAGGGACACATCCCCC